GGAAAAAATGCTGTGGGAGGTGAGGAGAGACTTGGAAGCCTAATTGCAGATTTTTAAGACACTGAGTTACCCAAAAATGCAACAGCTCCTATCTCTATATCCCCTCTTGGTTTCCAGAGACAAGAAAATACCACCAGACACATAAACTGCAGTTTCCTCTAACTAAAATCACTTTTTCTGTGTAAATCCCCAGCCTTAAGAGACTTCAGGGCCTAAATCCTAAACTCTTATTCATCAAGTAAGCAACTGCCAATCAATGATTCTCCATAAATCAAGGAGCAGAGGCCACAAGCAAGGCACATTATTTCTGTGACGTTTCCAGACTCTTGTACAGGGTGGCATTTCAATACTGGTGCTTAAAATTATTACTATGAGCGTTTGTTTGAACGCCTCAAAACTCAGACGTAGCAGAACACAGTGAAATAAATCACATTTCCTAATGATTTTTATTACCGTCTTCCTGCAACTCCTTAACTTTTTAAAGATACCTTTGATTTTGCAATTACTCGCTACAGTTTGATTGTTCCCATAGCACAGGTTTTCTGCAAATAATATACACTGACAAATTTTATTCTCCATTGGAGCCTGAAATTCAGAATTAAACATAATAGAAATAAATTTATTTTTTATTAGTTATTTTAGTACCGAGTATAGATTGTTTCCAAAAGACGCCCTCTCCTAATAGCTTTGGAAAGCAAAACAGCTGTTGAATTCCTCCTGGGCCAGTATCAATCTATTCTTGTTACTAATGGTGTTACTTAAATTATGCATCAATAAGTTAGGTGGCAGTCTGCTTCCTTTCTTTCCCTGGGCCTCTCACCTTAGAATGGAAAAGAATATTTTGCATTCAAGGATTTGCTCGGGCACAGTTGCCAGTGGCAACGATCAAGACTGAGTCTGTAAATAAAGCAACTTTAAGGTGAGTTAAAACAAAAATAACGCCAGGTATCCTGGTTTTCTCTGCTCCTTTACAGCTGTTCCCATAAAAAGAGAAATTGCAAAAGCAGGCAACAGTTTTGTAACTGTGCAGAAGGTTTCAACAATGAGACTCTAATCGTTTTCAAACACTGATTTAAAATGCTTTGGATCTTTCGCAAATGGCGATTTTAACCAGTTATTCCCGGTGCGCACTGCGAGTCACCTGGCGTGGAAAGCCCCGCATCGCCACTCGCCAGAAGCGGCTCCCGCTTAAGCGAGGGACTTCAGCAAACACAAGCGAAGAATATCCAAAAAGTAAAATCATCACAATTAGCATAATAAGTAGCTGCTCCATCAGTTGTGTAGCTAGCACATTATTATGCTTTTTTATTATCTTTCTATTAAGCTTTTCTGCAGCTCAGAAAGCCAAACTGTACTCGATCTTTTTCATATCCTGCATCTTTTAAAATTAATAGGGTTTTTTCCTGACATTTCACTTGTTTTTCCAATTATGGTGATGGTATTTATGAAGGCACCTAAGTTTCAAACAAACCATTTTATGCATGCTCAGCCTGCAAAGCGCTCCAGTAGTGTAAGGGATGCTGGACGGGCGGCAGAAGACAGCGCTGCCACCTCTTCTCCGTTCTTAGGGTGGAGAACACGTATAATTGTTCTGGCTGCTTCATTTGTCCTACAAAACACTTTTGCAGGAAGGCAGCTCCAGTTTCAGAAGGAAAGCATCTTCTGTTAACATTCACATAATGTCTTTTACCAAAATTATTTCTCCAAAGGAAGAAAAATACGTTATTTCAGCCTGGTGGAAAGGGAGGAGGTCCACAGTTCTGGTAGGTATCACAAACATCCAGAAGAGGAAATACAGAGCCCTAACCTATTCTGGTGTAGCTTTCTTACCGAGCTGTACGTACCACTGAAAACCACCAGGAAAAAACAGAACCGAGACAAAACCAGCTGACCCACCTCAACCAGATTTGTTCTTGCCTTTCTCAAAATGCAAAGCGAGCATGACAAAGCACAGGAGATATTGCACTGAGCTCCTCCTGGAGCTGTTAAATGCTTCTTGCCTGGATTGCCACGGAGATGCTGTGAGTTATCGTGATCAGCTGCAACCTACAGCAGCTTCAGTAACTTATTCCACAGCTCTCTCCACAATACATGCTCTGCATGCTTTTTTTTGGGGGGGACGGGGGAGGAGAATCCAGCTAACTCGAGAAATTGTGTTGAAGAAGGGAATTGAGCAACACTACCAAGGAGAAGACGAAGTGCCTGGTCTCACACCCCAGCACAGTCTCACCTTCTTGTGAGCTATCAGCAGGCAGTTCGAGTGTTCGTGCTCGCACGCGATTTCGTAGTCGGGGATGAGGTCGGCCAGCTCCTGGACAAAGCGCACCACCTCCTCGTGCCAGGGGACGTTGGCCATGGTGAGGCTGCTGGCTGAGCTTTCACCGCAGTACGTCACGCCCTGAGAAGAAACATGGAAATCGTCAGCTTAACCCTTCACAAGCTCAGGGTTGTGCCGGCACATCATAGAATCCCAGAATGGTTTGGGTTGGAAGGGACCTCTCAGCCCATCTCATTCCAAGCCCCCTGCCATGGGAAGGGACACCCTTCACTAGCCCAGGTTGCCCAAAGCCCCATCCAACCTGGCCTTGAACACTGCCAGGGAGCCAGGGGCAGCCACAGCTTCTCTGGGCACCCTCTGCCAGGGCCTCCGAAGAGTTTCTTTCTAACATCTAATCGAAATCTAACCTCTTTTAGCTTAAACCCATTCCCCCTTGTCCTGCCTTTACACTCCCTCATGAACAGTCCCTCACCATCTTTCCTGTAGGCCCCTTCAGGTACTGGAAGGCCGCAATTAGATCTCCCCGGAGCCGCCTTTTCTCCAGGCTGAACAATCCCAACTCTCTCAGCCTGTCCTCATAGGAGAGGTGCTGAGATCAGCCACAGCAAACCCTGAAAACCTCTGCTTTGCCCCCCTTTAGGCTGTATCTTAAGGAAAGGTAAAAATTTGGAGATGGCATCACAAAAAAATCCGTCTCTCCCTCAATGACACATCAGCAAACCACTGTGTGGCCAGGCTTCCCCAGCAGTAAATCACAGGTTAGTCTTTATCCTGGAAAGTGGCTTTAACAGCATTCAAATGGGGGATGCTCGTGCTCCTGAGCTACCAGTGGACCTTTGAGAAGGTCACTTGGTTTCAAAACACGACATGCCCGGAAGAAAGTCTCGTGAATAACCAATGCAACAAGTCAATGTGATACTTCTAGAGATAATTCCCTGTGTGAAGAGAGGTAAGGACCTCTCCCCTTCCAGGTCAAGGCTGCGATTTCTGCCCCTGTCCTCTAGTATCCACACAAATCTTGTTCCAGCCCCTTGTAAACCCATCCTATGTGCCCTCCTCCCTAACTGTGCCCAGGGAAGCTCCCCCAACCATACAGTGCTCTCCCTGCTTCCAGCTGTTCAGTTTAATTACAAGAGAATTAAACTTGCCTAGTTTAGCTGCAGACTATTGCTGCAACTGCTCCAGATCAAGAGCATTTTGGCAATCAAGATGAAAAGACAGTCCCTGCACTCCGAAACCCATTTTCTGTCTTCCCCGTGGTGCACATGGACCCAGGTAACCATAACCTGGGACTCCGTGAAGAGTCTTTGAGTAAACCCCTCAGTTTTATTCACATGATTGTTTGGATCTTGAGATCTCAAAGTTCTTCCCAACTACTGGTCATTTTATAGAAAAATTAAGATACTCCCCGTTTTGGTGTAAGAAATGGGCATTTGTAAGGCATTATGCATCCATGAGCAGATGGGCTGGGCAGAGTCCCACCAGGCAGCGGTGCCCAGACTGAGCCCTGGCAGAGATGCGGGTTATGAGCAGAAAGGTGTAGATACAGATGCTGGCAGGGTGGCAGCAGCTTGAGCCCAGAGAAACAGCAAATTTCTTTTAAATATCTTTCCTTCCAAAGAAAAAGCGGGGGGAAAATATCTGCAAGTGTGCAAATCATTCTTTGCTTCTGGGCATGCATAAAATGGGCGATTCTTGAGAGCACAACGAGCAAAATCACTAAAAAAAATTAAATAGTGCAAAACCGGAACAAAGCAGAGGATGTCAGTGAACCTTGAGGTCTTCTGAAGACAAGTGCTAATTTTAGGTTCAAACCAGAGGGATGGAACTGGAGAAGTGGTGAATTTGCACGGTCCAGTGCCACATCACCCATTCCCTTCTCTAACACCTTTGCTAAACCAGAAGCAACTCCATGGGGATGAAAGCATCTTCACTGGGGGCAAAACCAGAGTTCCCCCAGTAAAACCAGGGCTTTGCTTCTCCCCCTCTGCTCATCCGAGCTGTTCTTCTGCAGTAGCCAAACCTCATCTTTCTAATCCAGCCTGCTTTGCCTACCGTCTGCTCCTCTCCACAGCAGTACCGCTCCTGTGGCTTTCAGTTAGGAGAAGACCTACAAACCCATAAGAAAACCTCAGGGCTAGAGGAAGGTGCCGCTCTCCGGTTTTCATTCACTCCTCGGGAGGCAGAAGCACCTCAATCACTCAGCAATTAGCTTGCAGTTTAGAGACGACCACGGCACAGACCAGGAGAGCTGGTTTGCTGCTGGCTCTGCCCCAGCTGTGCAGCTACCTCCAGCCATTCACGGTTCCACCAAGACCCTCAACGCCGGCGTGAAAGGATGAACATGAAGCCTCAAGTGGCCAAGCCCTTCTAGAAACCAGGTGGAGAACTCTGCTCAGCCTCCTCCATCTAGCTAAAGCAACACAAGTCACCACTTTCCAGGATTATTCTTTCATTCTCTGGCTTGGTATCGCCGCTCTGTTTGCGTGGAGGTCTGCAGGCTGCGCACTGAGTGCCTGCAGCGGGTGGTGGTAGCATTTTATGGAAGACCTTCAGCGTGTTCCTCCCTGATTTTCCCTCCAGACCTCACCTAGAGGAGATGACAGCAACTGCTGGGCACTGGGGCTCCGAACCCTCATTGGGGAACTGGTCCAAACTGCTGGATATCCCCCCCCAATATTGAGGGCCACGAGCTAGATGATACAAAAATAACATTGGCACAGTAAAGCCAGGGCAAACACAGTCAGTAAACACAGATTATTTTTCAGGGCTGAGTACATGAGCAAACACCCAAAAATATAAAGGCATTTGTAAAAAACTCCTTCCAGCTCATCTCACTCTTACTATCTTTTATTTAAATTAATTTAGTAAATACCGAGAACTGTTTGGAAAAAAGTCCATCTCTGCCTGTGGCCTCTGCACATGCAGAGGGAGGGTGAAAATCCAGGCTTAAGTTGGTGCTGTGCAGAAACTCTTAGTGTTTACTGATGAGTAGAATTGACTTGATGACATTAAACAGCAGCTTGTGTTGTTTCAGTCGAAGGCCACCAGAACAATTGAGGAATTTCTATAATACTACCACTCCGCAAAGAGCCCATGCTGCTTTGTGAAATGCTGAGAGCTGAAGAAATTGTCCCAGAGTGAACATCCACAGGAAACACCGAGGGATTTTTTTTTTTTTTTTAAATAAGATTGATTTGAGCTGATTGCAGATCTCCCACCCAACACAGTCTGCCAGCCAAAAGGCCAGCACCATCACTCACCGTCCCTAAAGCCCCCATCGTTCCTCATCTCCCCCGACGTGGCAGAAGTAAAGGTCACGCAGTGCTGGCATTCTTTATCTGCACCAAAAAAACCCCCAAAACGCTAGTCCATGGCTGGGAAGTACCCAGCACGTGCAGGCTGATGTGACGAGCACTATGAGCATCCCTCAGGCAGAGCACGGAGAGAAGCTGCACATGGGTCTGCAAAGCTCTGTAGCTCACTAGTGTGAACAGGCAGGAGCACGAGGCTTGGGGGAAGTAGCTTTTCTGATCATTTTCTGGAAGCACGCTCAAAACTAGTTGCTAATTTAGAAGTGGCATTGTTCAAAAGACACCTTCATTTCTGTTTAATTGTATTAAGTCAGCAGAGATGCTGGGTTCTTGCTCCAGCTCCCTTCCCAGCAAATGGACCGAAGGAAAGCGTGTTGGAGCAGGACACGTGTTGCTGCTGTGCCCTACACAAAGCCAAGACACGAGCGCTGCTGGTCTGGGTCATTTACTTGCAAGAGAAGCCAAGGTCCTCTGGGTCACTGCAATACCTAGTTCCATGCCCTGCGACCATCGCTGGTTGGTGAACGCAGCGCCTCATGGTCTCCTACACACCGCTCCATCCAGATTCAGCCTCAACATTTTGAGATCGGCTGCTCTGAATTTGGAGATTTGATCACTTGAACCTCCTGAATTACTGATTTAGTCTTAGCCATGACCTCGATTTCACTCTTGCCTTGCTCCACCTTTAATTACATTAGTAAATTCTCATATATTAGCTCAGCAGTGTGTGGCTTACTGAGATTTATATTTGCGCATTTCTTTCTTTCCAGATAAAACTCATTAAAGGCTCATCCAACCTGTTTAACCTGTGGTAACACAACACAGGTCACAAACCCACCGGCACCCAAAAGATGCCACTCACCCAGGAAACTTGGCTTTTCTTCTCCACAAAAGCCCAACTCCTTTGTACCTCTCTAGGTGCTTTCATCACCTTTGCTCTTTGGCTGAGCTATTTTATTCCAGTCACAAAATCCCATCAAGCCCAGGTCTTTAAAACAAAGCACGCACAATTTTATGGATGATTATGTTTTGTGTTCTCGTGTTTTTCCCCTGTGAAGAACACTTTTACTTCTTTTAAATGGCATTTGCATCCACACTACGTTTACGGCATGCGGTCCCAGTTAACGCTGCACCCCCAAGACCTAATTCAGCCACATTAAAGTCGAACAAGTCATGTCCAGCAATAAACAGAGACAGATCCTTTGCAAATACTTAAAATTAGAGCAAGGTGAACCATGCAGTGCTTAAATAGGGCTACAAAAGAAACAGACTCATGCTAATTAGAAACTGTACAAGTTTTAGAAGCAATTACTTTCTCACTGGTAAATTTATGAGGGACCTCCTCTATTAATCTGCCTAAGCAAAGAATATTAGAGCCGCGCACCATAACTCAGAGCCAGTGTGGAAACAGATTGACTGTGCACAACCGCAGTCACGTCGGGGGAGTGCTAAACAGGGAAGTACATTAATTTTGTAGCCCGGGTCTGAAAGTCTGAAAAAGTTTCTAAACGTTCTTATATTAGAGCAGCCAGCCACGCAAATAATAGGCTATGTATCTCCAAAGTTCAGCTGTATAGACACAGCTCCATATAGCAATATTTTCCCCGCGTTCATTATACAGATTATGATTTGAGCAGCATGAAAAATGTATGACTACAGAGGAGGAAAATTCTTAGGAAGCTACAACATGACTCATTCTTTTAATAAACTTCAAAGATATCATTTACAAGCAAAGAAAGCGCAGAGGCAAATGGAATAACTAAGTGCTTGGATGGCTGATTAATTCACAAGCACAAATCAATGAAA